CAATATCATTAAATGATGAAAATATTAACCAAAGTTTAAATCTATATTATAGAATTGGAAACTTAAAAATGTTACGAAAAAGTAAGGCTATTAGCATAAGCAAAAAATCAATTTTTGCTTTTAGTACTAGCTATCATAACAATCTAAGAAAAATAACTGATAATATTATCATACATTTAGGAAATAATCTTGAAATAAGAAAATATATTAAGTTCCCTCTTATACTTATAGGAGATGATCAGAAAGAATATACTAAAGAAATAATTCTATGTAAAGATAAATTATATGAAGTAGATCGTTCACCTATTCTATTAGTAATGAACTTTCTTGAGAAATATAGTCTTTATAAAATCTGCCAAGGATATTTAAAGATAACAGTTGATAATAACCCAATCATCATATTAAGAATAGATGAAAATATGAAATTATTATTATCATGAAAAAGAGTAATTAATACTAATCACATGAGTCCATATATTGAAATTACACTCAATATAAAAAGTTATTGTAGAATTAAATTTCATACTTACTTAGATACAGGAAGTACAATAAGTTTATGCTTACCAAATGTACTACCATCTGAATACTGGAAATACAATTCAAAAAAGATAGCCACCGCTACAACAACAGGTGAAAATAAGGTAATATACAGCAAATATGCTACGCAAGTACCTTTTCTAATTTCCTTTAGAGAAGTATTTGTTGATACAATATATATGTCAACCACAATTGGATGTGATATTTTATTAGGACAAAATTTCCTATTAAAATATGCACTATTCATACAATATATTGATAAATATATGTTTACAACACCTTGTGGACATAAAATATTTACGCCAAAAATAGATAAGGCTGTTACAATAGCATATAGGGACATAAACCATCAGAGTTCCTCAAGCCAGCATAGTGGATGTTGGAGTACAGAAAAATTTAAACCAATTACAGTCTTAAAAATGACAACAGAAAATAGGTTAGAAAAACTGAAAAATGAAATTTCTAAAACATATTCTGAAAATCCGTTAGAAAAATGGAATACTGATAAAGTAAAGGCAAATTTTAGAAAAATGGAATACAGACAAAGTAAAGGCAAAAATAGAATTAACCAATCCAGACAATATTGTTAGAGTCAAACTCATGGAATATAGTGTAGATGACCAAAAGGAATTTAAAAACCAGATAAAAGAATTGCTAGAAGCCAAATTAGGCCTAGTAAAAGTTCACATAGCAGCCCAGCCTTCATGGTTAGAAAACATAGTGAGATAAAAAGAGGAAAAATCAGAATGGTAATAAATTACAAAAAATTAAATGAAATTACTAAATTTGATGGATACTACTTGCCAAATAAGGACGCCCTTATTAAACAAGTACAGAACAAAAAGATATTTTCAAAATTTGATTGTAAGTCAGGATTTTGGCAAATCATACTTACAGAAGAAAGTAAACCATTAACTGGATTTAGTACCCCCAATCCTTTAGGACAATACGAATAAAATGTAATGTCATTTGGATTGTAAAATGCACCACAAATATTCTAAAGAAGAATGGATGAGGTAATTAAACCAATTACTCATTTCTGTATTGCATATGTAGATGATTTACTATTTCATTCAAATAATATTGATGAGCATATTGAACACCTTGAGAAATTTTGTTATATTATGAAAAAACATGATATTACACTTTCTCAAAAGAAAGCTGAGATAGTTAGAATAATGTGGTCTTGGAAAGAACAAGATTGTAAAAATATAAGGAAAGTAAAAGAAGAATTAAAGGTATTGCCCAAACTTGTAATACCACAAGAAGAAAATTTCTTTATCCTTGAAACTGATACTTCAGATAATTACTGGGGAGAAGTATTAAAGGTAAAAAAGAATCATAAAGAATATAAATGTGAAAAGAATTGTTCTTGTCCTGAGATACTTGCAGGTTATACATCAGGAACGTTCAAAGAAGTTGAAAAAAGATATGAAACGAATAGGAAAGAACTTATTGCTGTAAAAAGGGGAGTTCAAAAATATGAAGATTATTTATTACCAAAGAAATTCTTGATTAGAACTGATAATACTCAAGTTAAAGCATTTTTAAAAATAATGTTGATCCATCTATTACCAATAGATATATTATTAGGATACAAATTTGGTTATCATATTTCAAATTTGATATTGAATACATAAAAGGTAAAACTAACTTTCTTCCTGATTATCTTAGCAGAGATGGAGCTAGAACAACTAAGGACGAAAGTCCAAATAGTTGAGATAAAAGTTTTCTATTTGGAAACACAAATTCAAAATATCCAAGATAGTCTTCGAGGCAAAAATATAGCCCTTGAGACAGAAGTTACTTGTACCAAATCTAGTATCCCTTTGTAGGGACTTATGAATACTAGCGCTCTTCCCGAAAATAAAGGGAAAGAGAAGAAAGTAATAGGAACCCCTTCACAGGGAATACTAAAACCTATTACTGGTAATGAAGATACAAAAAATTTTACTAGGGAAGATATTCAAAATATCAAAAAAGAATGTAACTCTTTACAGAGCCAAACTCAATTTAAACTTTCTATTGAAAGGATAGACCGAAAAGATATTGTCAAGATATGCCATGAAACAAAAATTCCAAGAAAAGATCACCATGAAGAAGTGATACTTTTTATTGTTATTTTCAATATTTTATCAGATTGGTATCTTGAGATAGGAAAGTGGATGAAAACTCTCCACTATTCAAAATACAACAAGATAAACTTCTATCCAGGAGCACCAGCCAATTAGGTACGAAATTGTTTTGAGATAGAAATATACTTTGTATATATCCCGGCAAAGATCTCAAAGAAATAGCCCAACTTCCAGCCAACATCAGAAAAGCTGTTAAGAGATATACTGAAGTTGTCAAGACAACAAATATATATATCAGATTCCATTCAGCAACTATGGAATGAGACCCCGTTCTTGAATATATGCATCCATCATTCCATGTTATCAAAATGGGACTTACCAACTAACTTTTTTACCAACCAATCAAAAGGTTGTTAAAAATGGATATCAAGATATTTTAAATATGATGCCCTACAGAAGAGCAAAAGGGTACAAAGAAATATTTGAACATGTAACCCAAATAATTACTGAGAAAGAAAAAATATGGGTTTTTCCATCTGAAGATCATATTATCTACTCCAATGCAAGGATGGCCACCAAGGAAGAAGATATTTGTTATCTCGACCATTTATTAACTGCAATTATTTCCAACCAAGTGCATGGATCAGAAGATATGGCTAAAGAACTGTGCAAATTACTTTGGAACTATAGTGATCACTATTGTGAATACTGCGTAGTTGAAGATATGAGTCAAACATATCTCAACAGTGAAGAATTCCCTGCAGAATTTTTTGATTCGAAGATGGAAAAGTGATAGTGACAAAAGTGGGCCTTTATCACTACTTTAATAAAGAAATTTATTAAAGAAAAACTGTTGCCACTGAAAGACAGAAGATAGTGCAAGAAAGTCTCCATAATTGTGACCACTCACCCACCAGTTGTCAAAAGTGGAAGACAAGTTCAAAGATAATGAAAATAATTTCAAAAGAAGAGGTCCACCTAACAAGAAGATAATGGAGAAATCGGTGGAGATTAGACTACTCAACTATCCACCAAAAGAAAATGGGAGACACCTGTCAAGATAAGATTTCCAAAGGCTTCTATAAAAGGAGGCAAGAAGGAAAAATGAAGGCATCTCGAAACAACTTATCTCTTAAATACTCTGAAAAAACACATCTTAGAGAGAGATCTTTTTGTAATCTGTATATACCACTTGTATTCAAAAAAATATTAGATAGCTTGAAAATAGCAAAACTTGTAATAAGGTAATCACTTATGGAGTTCTAAACTTCATAAGGTGAGTACCAAAGGTATGTAAATATAGATTGTAAGTATGTACTATTTTAGTTTATGAATATCAAAGTAAAGTTTGTTATGTTCAACAAAGCCTTCATAAAAGGATTTCATTAAATTTCTCACGATTCCTCGGCAGTACAGATAGAGATTTTAAAAGATTTTCAAAACATTGATTTTAAATGGATGTTAGTCATGCTAAAGTACCTTTCTTTGATGAATGATTTAGGGGAAAAAGGTAGTTTTCTAATAAAATTGTAGCACCTTGTGTGTGAGTTATCTTTTAAAATTTCGTTCTAAGTAAGAACTTGATTCTGAAAAGAGTTTGGATAGAGGTGAAAATAGAGACTTTGGATACTGTGAGATAGTGTTTGTGGCAACACGGCTAGTTCTCTAGAATGAGAAATGCAATCTTAATTGAAAAATCTTTTGCGGAAGCAGTTGTAGATCCAAATGATTTCAAAAAACATTTTAAACCTTTACTTTATTCAGAAGATTGATTAAGTACATGCAGAGCATCTATAAGATCATACTGGAAGGAAAGCCTGTTTACTTCCATTTGATTACTGTAAGTTATTCACTTGTCCTTACATGCTTATACTTTAATTATTTTGATGAAGAATTCACAAGCATCCACATCTACTTCTAATAATGATAATAATCTCATATTATTTTTAGATGAAAAAGATGTTTCGTTTTTATTTAAATTAGTTGAAAAGTCTGAAAATATATTTCCTGTTGGTAAAGAAAAAATGAAAAAATATATAGAGATATAGATTATAATTGTAAAAATAATATAGGATTTGATTCTGTAAGAACTAGTAGAGAGATAAAAAAAGGTAGAAGATATTATAAATAAACATAGAGATATACAAGAAGAAATTTCAGAAGGATTAGTTCGAGGATATATAACCAAGAAAGGTCAGCATAGGATCTTTGAAGAACTATCAAGGGACAAAGAATATTTAAAAGTGTTTGAAAGATTGAAAAATATAAATATAGGTTCTGATTAATAAATTCTTAAAAATATAAGATACATCTTACAAATAATAATTGTACTAAGAATAAAATAGTATTTCTTATAAAAAATGACATTGTGAAAAATAGAATCATTTATCCAGCCATTAAAAACTGCCCCCAATTTGGGTGTCCAGAGGAATTTTAAAGAGTTCAGCACTTTCCATCCAAAGTCACTATTTACCAAGATATCGCTGTAATATCGTATAAATTGAATTACATAGCGAATTCAACTTCCAATCCAGCTAGAGAGACAGATTTGGCCGCGGATTAAACACAATATAAGCGTATTTGAGGTGAAAATCTGAACTTTATGCTGTTTTGGTAAGTTTTACGCGTTTAAATTGATTGTATCAATTTTTTGATACAGTACATTAGATTCGTAGAACACCTAGATTTGGGTATTTGTTAAATTGTTGATCTGGGAATATTATTATTGAACTCCAAACTGTTTGTGCTATTTTCTCTAAGAAAGTCACTCGTGCTTTCAGTCTTTTCGTTGATGATGATTCACATGGATTTTTCACCATTCTGTTATCTAGTTTTTGAAACTTCCGTTTGAATTTTCATTTGATTATTCCCGATTTTTCTTATTGTTAAAAAGTGGCGTCCTTAAGAAAGCCAGAATTTAAGCTTTGCAATGCATGATTTATCAAGTGTATTTAAGACAGATGCTGCTCAATTTTGCTACTGACTGAAAGTATAATTAGAAACCTTAAAGATCCATGATGGTTTGGGAATCAAGTGCCAAGGGTTAACGAAATTAAGATTCAGTTAAGATCAATTTAATTCAAAGTCTCTTTCACTTTGTCGATATCAGTTTGAGGAGTAACAAGGAAGATTCAAGCTTTGAGTTGGAGCAGGCAGTTTTTATTAAGGGTTGCCAAATTTTCATTTTAAATTTGTGAAAAAGGTTCTAGTTTTATAGAAGAAGAGATCGATTTTGTCCATCTTGTCTTAAGGCAATTACCATACACCTATGTTTCTCTTCTGTGATTTTCTTATCATCATTTCAGTAGAAATAAAGATTCTCTGCTTCATAGGCAATGAATCTTAGCTGTTATCATTTCGATATATTTCAGAATTATTTGTCTCCCCCTTTCTCGCATGCGCGAGCGGCAATCTCTCTTGTGCACAATGATCATTTCGATTCTAACATGGTCTAATGTGCTTGCTTGATAATATTGAGTTCTTTTTCACACGATTATAATACCTAAATAAACCATAACATCGTGTGATTTCAATTCTTTGTAGGTCGGAGGAGCAATGTTAGGAGTTGTAAACAAGTTTTTTATAGCATCAATGTTAATGTGGGCTGTTCCTCTTGGAATTTTATATGGCTTTAACCACAATTTGTTCCCCGGTGAGCTTTTTTTTCTACAGTTATGTGTCACTATTACATTTTATCTTCCACTCGTGTAGAAAAAATGGCATTGTATTTTTAAACAATAAACCTATGTTTTAGTTGCTTTTGAGCTTTTCTTTTGTCTTGTGTTTTTCTCCAGTTCTTTTGAGTCACAACATGCACACAAATGTTATTGTACTATTGTTTTCGACACGTGTATGTCATCATTGGCTAGCTGCTGGTGTTTGGGATAAGAACTCTCAATCACACAATACTTTTTCCCTCTTATCATGGTTAACACATTGACATTTATCAGAGAAGACCTGCATTCTTCTTTTTGGTTTAGTAGTAGAAGCTTATACTTTTAAACTGGGAGTTGTCATTAATATAGTCAAATGGTAGGTCTCAAGAATTTCTGAAATATGGTCTGGTGAGGTCATCCTAGCGCAATTGAGATAAGGGGCAAGCGTGTTGTATATTATAATGCTAGAGTTATTGATTACTCGTAGATGCAGATTGAATGGTTAATATTTTAAGAAACTTTAATAAATGGGTAGAAGAAAATAAAGGTGCCGCTCATTCCCACGTTGGTTGTGAAGAGCTGGAGTTACCATATTTGTGGGAGTTGTAAAATTCAAATAATAACTTGGGCCTACCATTCAGGGCAAGTAGACAAGATATGCCTCAGCCCGTAAAATGCATATAAGGGTGGTCATGGACTGTGATAGTGCTTGATGAGGATGTGAAGCTGTCAAGCATGGTTATAAACTTGTAATATACCATACGTTGTCCCATGTCATTTTGAAGTAATTAAATGAAAATCGGATTAGACTGGCTGGTCCGACTGTGAGAGTCGGGAACTAGGCCGAAATCCGGTCCTATCATACGGTAATAACCAGATGAAACAAAGCTGGCACAAAATCCGATAAACTGTTCGGATCAATAGGAAATGGTGGACCAGATACGGTTTTTGCACGTTTTAAATTCTGATTTTTTGTCATAGTAATGAAAAAAGAAAAAAAGGGGTGAAGTACATAACAAAGCTTCATTGCCATGTATCTGGTCGGCCAATAGTCACTAGCGCTCCCACCATCTCGGTGGTGAAGCCTTTGTACTCCATTTCAGCCGAAATATCCAAACCCTAAAACTAATCTTACAAAGAAATGAAAACATAAAATATACAAAGGAAGGTAGCAAAGGGGAAAGCCACCAAATATATACATGTACAAGAGTTGTATGCACGAGAGAGATTCGCCGTCACCGTGGGAAAACCGGGAGGAAACAGCACTGTACCAATTGGAATGAAATGAAACGAAACTAATGTAACCCTAGAATAAATGGGAAATGGCAGGATTTCGATTTTATATATATGGGCTCTCTGTTGCATTGTAAAGTAGTTTTTGGCCCATTTAGTTCTCAATTAATTATTTCATAAGTAGTATGGATCAATTAAGAGTAATGCTATTCGTAGTGAAGACTGTCAGTAATCGTCCTATGTAGCATACATTTGGCAATATGGCATTTGATACATATATATGGTAGTTATTTTTTGAATTATACATCAAATGAAAAATTGGCAAGTATACGCCATATAGGGCGACTGTCGGTAGTTTTCACTGCAAATAGCATTATTCATCAATTAATGGATTTTAGAATTAAAATAATTTAATTATTTTAATTTTTGAGTCTACTCTTGTTCAATCTCGGTTCGACCGTTTGACCCTAACTTTACCTGGTTGATGGTCGGGCCGGTTTTCAAAACATTGTTTTGAAAAGTTGGAAATACCTACTTATAAGCTGGATTTGGAGTTTTAAACTGTAAGCTGGATAATCATTTGGGCTATGGGGAAAAAGGTGGTTTAGTGTTTACTTCTTATTCCTACAACTTAGAGGTCACACTTGGGATTAGCATTGGGCCTGTGTCCATAATCTGTCAAAATGATATGCTTGTAGAGGCTTACTTTCTAGATACTGTGATTTTAATCAGTTTCATATTTTGACTGTTAAATCCCATTTCCATTGCTCACTCTTTGAAGGAAAGATGCCCGGAATGCCTTAGAAAATTATTATTAGTTCATAACATCTTTTTTGGGATATCACCTCACTTTGTACTCGTCTGTTTCATTTTGGATTATGATTTTCACAGAATGTCATCATCATGTGTGATGTAAAATCCATATTAGACATCCTAACTGATGATAGATAAATGCCATGGGATCAATTTATGCAAGTGTACGTCTCATCAAACTTGCATCATTTAATAGCTCTTTATATTCTTTGAACTTACTAAGATCAAATCCTATATTGAATTACATTTCTATGATAATCAGGCTCGCCAAATTTTTGAGCCGACCAATTATATCAATTGCTTTTATGGGAGTTGCTCTTTATTATTCGTGCATGTTTTGATGCCTTATTTGTCGATTGTGGAATCAAAAGTATCATTATGCAATTAAATAGTTGTAGAATGTGAACATTTTAATCCTATGACATGTTAAGATGCAGTGTAAACCTAATTGTAACTCGATCTTCCCCATCCCCTGCGCGCAAATATGCTACCAATGTACACATGCAATCTCATTAAGGAAGAAAATTTTTTGTCGTATTATAATATCATCTTCAATGTTCTGACTTGATAAGTTCGTAATCTCTTTGAGCTTCTCATCACCTGCTCTTAATTGTTGTTCATCTGGTACAGGTTCTACTGAGCTGTCTCCTTATTCTATGACATTGTTGAGTGGATTTCTAGCAGTCATTTCTGTCAACATCATTATAGCATTCTACATTTGCATGGCAATGAAAGAACCCTCAGACAAGCACGAGCCAGATCCTAAATTCGTAGCAGATGCCAAGGCTAGCATTACGCAGTCTAATCCAAATGAAGCTGAGTCGTCATCAAACCACACAAAACGAGAATAAGCGGCATCAACGTCATGAGGCAGTTTAACTTCTACGTGGGACTCGACTCAAGTATAAGCAAATCCCAAGGGTTTCTCACTTAGGTTGAAAATTTTGATTGTAATTGTTGTTATCGTTTGTTGAATTTTAATTTGTACATTGAACTGGTTGATGATATGTATAATGTATCAATATGAGATAACTTGCCATTTTGTTCAGAATTTGTAATTGTCACCTGCAATTTCTAGAAAATTGCACAATTGGTCCTCACCTTATTGTTTCTTGGTCTCCAAACTACATGCGAAGGAGCAAGTTGGTCCGCAATATTTCACTAATGCACACAATGAGTTTTATCCACGTCTTCGTTGTGATCATATAGAAGAATAAAATCGGACATATTGATTGACCATATATGCAAACTAATAGACAGGTACTTGAGACAAAAATAAGTACTAAAGTGAAAAGGGTGAGGGGACACCTTTACAAGCCTGCATTTCAAATGGGGGGAAATTCATAACTGATTTCAAAATAACAAATTTGGGAGAATATTTCAAAAATCAGGTTATCACTTTTTTTGACATCTGATAAATATTATGACTTATAATTTAATTCAGAGGTCACGATCACATGAATACAAAAAATATGATTGTGGTCACATTTTAATCACAAAACACACAAGTTCACAATCAAAAAAATGCAGTTTGTGAATAACAATTATATATTTACTCGCAAATCACATTTTAATAGGGTACAAAATAATTTCTAGACACTAATTACCCATTTAACTAGTCGCAACCTCTCACCATCCCACCCTACCACCTTCGACACCATTGAAATCACAGCTACCACCTCAAATCCACAACCCACAACTACCATTACCACACCTACACCTCGAATCCAAAACCACCACCATCACCTCAAACTCATCACCACTTCTATTCTTCCCACTTCACCTCTCCGCCCCATTACTCACTTCTACATCTACAAGAGACACTAATTACCCATTTAACTAGTCGCAACCTCTCACCATCCCACCCTACCACCTTCGACACCATTGAAATCACAGCTACCACCTCAAATCCACAACCCACAACTACCATTACCACACCTACACCTCGAATCCAAAACCACCACCATCACCTCAAACTCATCACCACTTCTATTCTTCCCACTTCACCTCTCCGCCCCATTACTCACTTCTACATCTACAAGTCTTCAGACCATTGAACTTCCATTTCTAAAATTGGAATAAAATTTAAATGAAATATTGCAATTTGCATGTTAATTTATTTAAGCCCCTATTTGATGCCCATTATTTTGAAGAAGTAAAGTTTTGAATACTGATTTTTTGGAAAATGCATAGTTACAAAATAAGGAAAAAATTTGAATTTACGTGCAAAATATCTTATTTTGTAAACGTGCGGTTGAAAATGAATATAAGAATTAAAGAGTTTTATTTTAAAAGGAATAAATAAGGGCTAAATATAGAGCCAAATGAATAATATATACAACTGTTAAATACTCATCTAAAATTTTTAGAATTGTGTCCCATAGAAATGGAGTCAAATCTTGCCCACAAGTTAGTACAACCCAAGAATCTTAGATTTAGAAGGCTTAAACTTTTAAAGATTTAAAAAGTTTATGGATATTCAATATAGATTTTGAAGACTTTCTAAAAGTATACGTGTGTTCAATATAATTTTTTTTATAGACTTCTATAAAGTCCTCAAAAGTCACGAGACATTCGAATAAAACTTTAAGAAATCTCTATAAGTCACATATTATTCAAATTTATAGACTTTTAGGGAATTCCATATTGGTGAAACGACTCTTTTCCATCTGGGTTTTCTTTTATCTCTTTCATTCGGATAGGAATATGCATTAATTAACTTTTATAATCACTTTTGAATTGAATTTGTTGTTAGTCCATTTTCTTCCTGAATTCATATAGGAATTTAATCGATTTGCTGTTAGCCCATTTTGATAATACGTATATGTTTTTAGAGGTAATTGATAATAATATAAGGTTTAAATGGGAATAAGAATGGAAATTATTTGGACACAGATGATAAATTCGTTATTGAATACTCAATTTATCCGTTATACAATATGTCACATGTGTAATCTTTTTTTTTTTTGATAAATATTTTCGACAACCACCTTCGAAAAATAAATAATTCTACCATCCACTGACCATCCCAATTTCAAGAGGGATAATAGAGAGCAATAGAAGGTTATTGTTCTTTTAAGCGTCAGTAACCAAAATATGAAATAGGCTAAGGATAATATATTTTCAGTCTTAATTCAATTATAGAGAGTAAAATGTCTTGTATATTATTTTTTATATTATCTTTTTAAATCTTTACTATATTACATGTACAATCTGGGGATAATATTATGGGAGATTCAGTACAAGGAAATGATAAAGTTTAAGGAAGAGGTGTGAAAAGTTATGAAAAATGGACGTTGAAAGAAAGCAATGAATTGCTAAAACTTATGGTTGATGCAGCCACTCGCAAATGGCTTGATATGGTGTGTTGAGGAAGATAACAATAGAGAAGCATATACTTCCCATCTGAACAAAAACTGTGGGATTGAAAAGACATATGTCCAATTATAAAGTTGTGTGAGATAATTCAAAAAACAGTACAACAAATATTCTAAGATCATGCATCATAACCCTGGGTTTGGATCCGGACCCAGTGTTATGATGCATGAGCTTAAAATATTGGGCATAAGTCTTTTCAGTCCCAAACATTTCATCAAGCCTTGTTTGATGGCCATTATTTGTTTGAAATAATATTTTTAATAGTAAAATTTTGAAGAATGTGTCGTTAAAAAGTAGGAAAAAGTTCTAGATTTAAGTGCAGAATATTTTATTGTATAATGTATGGTTAAAAATAAATATGAAAAATAAAAGAATTTAAAATAATAGTTGTCAAACATGGATTAAGATGGAAAAGTATATGCTTTGCTCAACACACCATATCATGCCATTCACAAGTGGTAGCATCGACCATAAGTTTTAGCCGTTCATTATTCTCTTTCAACGTCTACTTTTCATATATTTCTATACTTACCTTCAACTTTATCATTTCCTTGTACTGAATCTCCCATAATATTATCCCCAGATTGTACATGTAATATAGTAAAGATTTAAAAAGATAATATAAAAAATAATATACAAGACATTTTACTCTCTATAATTGAATTAAGACTGAAAATATATTATCCTTAGTCTCCGAAGTGATATAGCGATTCCTACTACTGATCTGCCGAATCATCTCACCTCTGAGGTTGAGATCAAGTGGACCCCGGTTAGAAGATCCGTCGCCAATTTGAGATTTGTCCTATACCTAATGCTTAAATTGATTTGACGTCTTCATGAGGCTATTTGATGTGACATATCAACTTTATGTCAATTCAACTCGGAGGAAACAAACTGTCCGCCCACTCTACAAACGCAGCTGATTGACGCCTATGAGCAGACACTTCATACCGTCAGATGTATACACGCGTTCCACATCCAACGATTCATACCACCTATAAATACCTAAGATTTGGCAAGAGGTAAAGGTAATGAAACTTTTAATACACAGCACTCCATAACAAGTTTATATATTCTCCTCCTCCTTTATTGATTGATTTGTGTAGCCCCTAGGTACTGTTCCGACCACCCAAACCTGACTTGACCGTCGGAGTGTATACGGCCGCCACCACCCCCGTTGGTTCCGGCCGTGTGCGCCTAACCATTTGTTGATTGCGCAGGGAGGAATACGTGGAGTAGCTTTCAGTTGGCCACGTGGAGGGACTAATTTTCGAGGTCAACAGATTGACGCCGTCTGTGGGAAACACTCCCCATTTGAAGTTTTGCGTTCTCCATCGGAGAAGATACCGGAAAACCGACGACTAACCCTGAAAAGGGGGCATTCTTGAAAAAGAACAAAGTCGAGTTACAATCCAAGTTCTTACTACCCTTGAAAAAAGAGGTAGGATGAGCTACAGCCATGAAGACAATAATCCCATGAGAGAGGCCTCTGAAGAAGAGGTACTCCATAACAATGTTACTCATCAGAGATCGCATCACCGGCTTCACCGAGGCGGGAGAACAGCCATACTCACTGAAGGAATGGCTCAGATAGCTGCGGGTATGAGAGACATAGCAGCTCAGAATATGGCGATACGGGAACTCCTCATGCAAGCCCAGGGACACTAGAGCTATCAAAGGCCCCAAGGATCTTATCCGGTGCAAGAAATCCCTTTATCTCACTCTCAGGGCCACATGAGCTGGCACACAGAATGCCCCCTCGAAAGAGAGATGAACGCCAAAGCAACATCTTATGTGCAAGGGAGTCATCCATCAGAACCACCCTTGGGGGACAACTTTCCTCAAGAACACGACGACCAAAGGTCGGTGAGCGTCTTCGACCGGATAGGGGAGGATCCTAGCAATAGAGTCCACCCAGCAAGAGGATCAGTTCGTCCGGATCGCGAACAAGAGCATGTTCCCCCTCCTCCTAGAAATAGGAGGGACAGGAGAAACCTAGTCGATTGGGGGAGTCGAGGAGAAGCACCTCCACCACCCCAGGACATCCAAGATGATGAAGGGTCAGAGGGGCCCTGTCGATCTTATGAGATTGACGACGATGACGATAACCTCCCTTTCTCAAGGGAGATTCGAAGCTTCCCAATGCCAGCTAACTTCATGCCCCCTAAAATCCCCAAGTACAAGGGAAAGGGGGATCCGGAGAAGCACCTCACAAAGTATATGACACAAATGAGCCTTAGGGGAGCCTCGCCTGCTCTAAATTGCAGAGCCTTCCATTTAACACTAGGCGGAGTCGTCGAGGTATGGTACAGCAGGCTTCCTCCCCTAAGCATCAGAAGTTGGCCAGACTTGAAGAAAGCATTTTTGAACCAGTACTTCTCACGCAGGGAAAGAGAGGTGCCAATTCAACGCCTGCAAGACATGAGGCAAGCCCCTAGAGAGATGCTAAAAAGCTATCTCGCCAGGTTTAGAGACGAAATTACTTACTGCGAACAGGTCACTGATAGGGAAGCCCTTTCAGCCCTGAAAGGTGGGCTCAATATGAACACTTTGTTTTGGAGGGACGTGCGCAGCAAGAATCCCTCCACATACGACGAGCTGGTGGAAATGATGAGAGTGGAAATTGTTAGTGAAGAAATGATTGATCATCACAACCATGCCACACAGGGACTC